CTTTTATTCCTCTCTGCAGCAGGCTTACAGTATTTAGTGAGAGTCTGTAAAGAATGTGTGCTGGGTGGAGAGTTAATACCATAATCCCCCATCGTTGGGGTCAAATGCTGAATAGAGCAAAAGAATTAGAAAACATGTTACATACAATGGCAGGAAAAAATGCATCCCCACGCTGTTCTGTGAACACTAGCATTCATCACCCGTAAGTAATGACCATGAGGTAATAGAGTGTATAAAGAGATGTGTACTTGAAGTCTAGTGTGTGTACAGAAGCATGGATGGAAGACTTGAGCAGAAACCTACATACCCATACACTCTGGGAGGCATTTGTCACCATTTTTTAATTGCTTTTTTCTAAGTACCTGCTTGGATTTAGTTCCTAAGTAACACATTTAGCCACTAAATTGTTTCACAGAGTGGAACCTTGAGCTATCTCTTTTCACTCTTCAGCAATGGATGTGAATATTGTTCTCAAAGTGCTGTAATACATCTGTCTCTGGAGAATTTTCTTAATGAAGGAGTAGAAATTTGAAGCACCTTAGAAAAAAGGGTTGAACAGCCACCTTCTATTGTGTCTTGGGAAAGTCAACTGAACTCATCTGGAGTAATATTACAAGCAAGTGAATAACTTTGTATGGAAGTTCTAGAAAGAGAAATGAGTGTGTGTGTGCGTGCGTGTGTATGCACGTTATAAATGGTTTGACCATAAAATGACAAGTTGGATTCATTTTAAACGATATCCTTTGTCTTAGTTAATTTTGCTCTTGCTATAACAGAACACCATAGATGGGACAATTTATAAGTGGCAGTAGTTTATTTGGCTTATGATTCTAGAGGCTGGGAAGTCCAAGATTGAGGAGCCCTGTCTAGTGAAGACGTTCTTGCTGTCACCGATGATAGAAAAGAGAAAGGCAAGAGAATGTGCAAAAGAGAGCAAGACAGGGCCAAACTGTCTTTGACAACAAACCTACTCTGGAGATAACAATGTTACTCCAATAACAGAGGCACAGTCGTCATGATCTAATCACTTCTTAAAGGTCCCACCTCTTGACACTGTTGCATTGGGGATTAAGTTTCCAACAAAAAACTTGGGAAACATTTAAAACATAGATGCCTTACAAGTGTTAACTATTAGAGATCAACACTTAAATTTTTTAATTTATCTCTAAGTTTATAGATAGTAAAAGTCACTCTCTGGGCTAGAGAGGTCTATGTTTGACAAATGCAGAGTCGTGTAAGCACCACAGTCAAGATACAGAACAACTTCATCACCCTCAATGGTCCCTAGTGGTGTTTCTTTGTAGTCAAACCTTTCACCCTCAACCCCTGGAAATCACCGATCTGTTCTTTGTTCCTGTAAGTTTTATCTTTGACAGAATATCACATAAATGGAATCATATGGCATTTGCCTTCTATGCCTGACTTTGGCCGGGGCTGGGTTTGAACCCACCACCTCTGGCATATGGGGCTGGAGTCCTACTCCCTTGAGCCATAGGTGCCACAAAGCCTGACTTTTTTGATTTAGCAGCAGCACTTAAGATTAATCCATGTTGTGGTACCAATAGTTTGTTCACTTGTGTTGCACAGTAGGATTTTAATTTCATAATTTTCAATGACACTCCAAGAGTTTTTTGTTTCCCAACTTTATTGAAATAATTTATGTACAATAAATGCATCCATTTTATGAGTACAGTTTGATGAGTTTTGCTATTGTATATTGTATACTTATGTAATGAACATCACAAATATAGGATACTTTAATCACCTACCAGAAATTTCCTCTGTGCCTCCACACAATCAACCCTTAGCCCCAAGCAACCACTGAATGACTTTTGCCAATAAAGATTAAATTTATCCTATCTAGAATTTTATCTAAATGAATTCATATAGTATAAACTCTTTGTGTGTGGCTTCCTTCAATGAACATATTTTTGAGATTCATTTATATTATGTGTATATCAGTACATAATTCCTTTTTGTTGCTGAGTGATACTTTGTTGTTGTAAGCATTAT